CTCCAGCATAGGTATTGCAGGCCCATGGTAAATATTTGTTGAATGAATGAAAAAATGTCTTCCTCACTTGACTATGAGCTACTTGAGAGGACTGGCTGCACGGTTCCTGAGGGTTTTTTTTTTTTCCTTCTTCTTCTTTGAGACAGGGTCTCTTTTAGTCGGCCAGGCTGGAGTACAGTGGTATGATCTCAGCTCATTGCATCCTCCACCTCCAGGGCTCAAGCGATCCTCCCACCTCAGCCTCCCGAGTAGCTGGGACCACTGGCATGTACCAAAATGCCTGGCTAATTTTTGTGTTTTTTTTAGAGACCGGGTTTCACGGCGTTTCCCAGGCTGGTCTCAAACTCTTGGGCTCAAGCGATCTGCCCACCTCAGCCTCCCAAAGTGTGGGGATTACAGGCGTGAGCCACCGTAGCTGGTCCTGAGTTGTTGGTTTGTTTTTTAGTTAAATTGAATTAAAATGCATAGGAGAAATACGTAACCAAACCTGGCAAACCAGAGAGACTTCCCAGAGGAGATGATGCCTGAGAGCTCGAAAGGTTGAGAAAGTTATCTAGGTAGAAGGAATGTGGAAGTGGAAGGCATTTCAGGCAAGAGCAAAGGTCAAGGGGGAAGTCTGCTATGTTCTAGAAACTGCTAGTCATTTGGCTGCAATTTGGGGTTCATGAGGGACAGTGGCTGCGGGAGGAGGCCAGGTCATTTATTTGCGTGTTCATTAATTGATTTGGTAGACACTGATACGTACAGTGTGCTGAGTCCTAAAGGTGGGAGATGAACTGGACACCCTTGCTCTTGAGGCGTTTGTGAATTATCTAGAAGATGCTTTATCTTAGATGGAGAGCCTCTGAGGATTTTAATAAGGGATAGTTGGGGGTAATGATAAGATATATATTCTGAAACACTAGGACAGTGTGTCTCAAATCATCTGTGGTGAAGGACATTTTTCTATTTTTACTTCTAATCCATCAGACACTGATAAAGATAATAAAATTATAAAGACAAAATACAAGGCCATGTTTCCTCATATTAGATTCAACAGCATACAATTACTGTAAAATTGTTATGTAAGTTTTTTAGTGTCTACTTTCAGTTTCCATTCTCATCATAGACCAGGGGTAAGTGTAAACAGCACTTGGTTTGCAGACTATCCTTTAAGTAGCACTGTTCAAAGAGATCACCTTAGCTGCAGATGGAGAATTGATTGGAGGAGGATTGAATGAGGGCAGAGATCAGCAGGGAGGCTATTTCTCTGATCCAGCCAAGTGACAGCGGGTAGGCTGGACTGGGAAGTGGCAACAGAGACAGAAATTTTGGAGGTAAAAGCCACAGATTTGGTCAAGGGGAGTTGGGAGTCAAGGGGAAAGATAGGAATTAAGATGCCTCCCAGGTTTCTGGCTTGAGCAGCTGGGTTGGGTGATGGTGATATTGACTGAAATCTGGACTGGAGAAGATAATGTTTGAGGGAGGGCCAAGAGTTCAGTACTGAGGTAAGTTTGAGGTACATGGGGGACCTCCAGTAGGAGATGTCCAAAAGGCGACCAGTTTTGGAGCTGGTTGTGGTCTTTAACTGAGAAGAGAGACTTTCCTGATCTAGTCTAGCATTGACTCCTTCCTTGGGTCTCTGACAGACCCAGCTGGTGGTAGTGCTGTTTGTCTCTGGGGGAGGTCTGTAGGATTGGGGGTATGGGAGAAGGGAGGAAGGGGCATTGGCAGGGCTGCCTATGTTGGGAGTAGGATTCAGGCCCAGCTTCTGTAGAGATGCCTGACCTTGGCAAACTCTGGGGGAGCAGCAAGTCCCACTGTCCCCACTGGGTGGCAGTAGTGCTTCAGACAAGAGTTATATGGACTAGGGGCTGCTGGGCCTTTCTCCGGGTAATTAGCCATCTGTCCTACTCCAGAGTTGACCTCTGGACTCCACAGAAGCACTTACATGTGCGCCCCTCACCTTAACCATGGGGGCAGGAGTGTGTGTCCCATAACTGAGGCTCTGGAACTGGAGACAGTGCAGTTGCTCCTGGAATGAATCAGGGGGAGGCTACAGTCCCAAACCCTGCTAGGACCTCTAGTCAAGCAGACAGGTTTTTCCCTCGCTGCAGGGACACAGGCCCAGAGGCTGGCAACAAACAGGAGGAGCTGTGGTCACTGGGGGCTGGAACCTGCTAGACATGACATGATGTGGGCATGCCCCTACTGTGTCCTTCTGTGCCAGTAGACTGTGCAGGTGCCTGTGTACTCAGAGCAGGAGTACCAGCTTTATCTCCACGATGATGCTTGGACTAAGGCAGAAACTGACCACCTCTTTGACCTCAGCCGCCGCTTTGACCTGCGTTTTGTTGTTATCCATGACCGGTATGACCACCAGCAGTTCAAGGTGAGCCACTGTGCATTTGCATGTGTGCCCAGCTTCTCTAGCAGGCCCTTTTATGCCATCTCTTCCACATGCCCCTGAATGTTCATTCCTCTACCCTGTCTTGCTTCTCAGAAGCGTTCTGTGGAAGACCTGAAGGAGCGGTACTACCACATCTGTGCTAAGCTTGCTAACGTGCGGGCTGTGCCAGGCACAGACCTTAAGATACCAGTATTTGATGCTGGGCACGAACGACGGCGGAAGGAACAGCTTGAGCGTCTCTACAACCGGACCCCAGAGCAGGTTAGCCCAAGGCCACATACCTGTCCTCCATGCCCCAAACCCCTTGCCCATTGCCTCCATCCTCCGTACCCCTCAACTCCCACTCCAGGTCCCCCTGCCTCCCACTGATACCCTATTAACTGCCCCAGGCCCATTCCTACCTCTCATGGGCCATCCCCCCTGCTTTTCACAGCCCTTCACCTCCCTCATGATCCCTTACTTCTCAGATTCCCTCACAGACACCCCAGCACCCCATCACCTCCGTGTCTACCGTCACTCCTAGAAGTGCCCTCACACACTTTGCATCCCTCACTTTCCCAGGTGGCAGAGGAGGAGTACCTGCTACAGGAGCTGCGCAAGATCGAGGCCCGGAAGAAGGAGCGGGAGAAACGCAGCCAGGACCTGCAGAAGCTCATCACAGCGGCAGACACCACTGCAGAGCAGCGGCGCACGGAACGCAAGGCCCCCAAGAAGAAGCTACCCCAGAAAAAGGAGGCTGAGAAGCCGGTGCGGAGGCTCAGCCAGCCCACCTCAGGGTGGAAGGGTCACCTGGCACAAGGCCCCACCCCGAGTGGAGGGTTCTGAGGGGTGGAGGGTTCTGAGAGCACCCAGAGCTGATGGGGTGCTGGGACTAACCCTGGGCTCTCTCCCTGTGACACCTTGATCTCCATAATGCCTTCTCCCCCAGGCTGTTCCTGAGACTGCAGGCATCAAGTTTCCAGACTTCAAGTCTGCCGGTGTCACGCTGCGGAGCCAACGGGTACGTGAGTCACCTCCTTTAGCATGTTTGGGCCCTGGGTTCTGCTCTGGGCTCCATGTGGCCCAAACGCTGAAGGCAGGTGGGGATGGAGCGGTGGGAGAGATTGCTGCAGACAGAGGTGGCCTTGCCAGGATCTCAGTGATGTGGCCAGGCTAAGGTCACAGCTTTCACTATATTCAGCTTCCTGGCTATTTCCTTTTCTGGCCCATAGTTAACCTCCATGTGTTACCGTCTCTTCCACACCTCTTTCCCACTGCCTTTTGTCCCCTTCATCCTAAGCCTCTTGTGGCTGGGAGAGGCTTAGCTTGCTAGCTTTCATTGCAGATGAAGCTGCCCAGCTCTGTGGGACAGAAGAAGATCAAGGCCCTGGAACAGATGCTGCTGGAGCTTGGTGTGGGTGAGTGTGGGGACTGGGCCCCACAGGGTGTACCCACCCAAGGCTGTGGATAAAGGCTGGGCAAGGGGAGGGGAGTTCACGTGGCTGGCCCTCTACCACACCTGGGCTCTGCCCCTGTGCTGCCCACCACCTGCCTGCAGAGCTGAGCCCGACACCTACGGAGGAGCTGGTGCACATGTTCAATGAGCTGCGAAGTGACCTGGTGCTGCTGTACGAGCTCAAGCAGGCCTGTGCCAACTGCGAGTATGAGCTGCAGATGCTGCGGCACCGTCACGAGGCACTGGCCCGGGCAGGTGTGCTGGGGGGCCCTGCCACACCAGCATCAGGCCCAGGCCCGGCCTCTGCTGAGCCAGCAGTGACTGAACCAGGACTTGGCCCTGACCCCAAGGACACCATCATTGATGTGGTGGGCGCACCCCTGACACCCAATTCGGTAAGAGCCTGGACAGGCTGGGAGGCATGCCTTGGCCCTGCGAGTGAGTGCATGCACATGGGTGTAGGGGCTCCTCTCCCTCTAGTACCTGCAGCAGGGATGATCATCACTTCTGTGTAGGTCTGAGACTGAGGGGTAGGAGTGGGTTGACCAGTGGGTGTCCTTGTCCCTGAGCACGTGAAACACATGCACTAAGCCTGACTCAGGCCTTGGGGGTCACTGACCTCAATGCCTTCTGTGTGTCCTCAGAGAAAGCGACGGGAGTCGGCCTCCAGCTCATCTTCTGTGAAGAAAGCCAAGAAGCCGTGAGAGATCCCACGGGGTGTGGGCGACGCTGTTATGTAAATAGAGCTGCTGAGTTGGACCAGGCTGCTTCCTTTTCCTTTCCTTCACTTCTGATGCCCCTAGTGGGAAGGGTGGGCCAGGAGGGGATTGTCACAGCCACTCCACAGGGTGGCAGGTAGGTTTGCCTGTGTTCAGGCCCTTCGCAGCTCTCTGACCACTAACCACTATGAGTTTCACCCAAACTCCTGCACCTCAGAGCACCTGTGGTTTACACTCAAGATGGCTTTGCACACAGCCTGTACTGATAGTCCCCGCACTGCCACAGTTGTGTGCATACTGAGTGAGGGTGTCACAGGTGCTGCAGTGACGGCCAGTCACACACGGATGGCCTCGTGCACAGAGGCAGTCTGGAGCATGCTCTACCTACCTTCACATCCTGACAGCTTTGGCGCAGCAGCAGCCTCACATACACAGACGGCTTTGCACACACACCCACTGCCTCGTTTCCCCGAATTTATTCAGTGGCACGTTCACAGCGGGGATGGGGGTAGACACAAGGTGGGGCCTGATCTGTCCTGGAGCCCTGGGGGCACCACACACCATGCACTATGGATGGGAGGGGGCACAGGGGGGGCTTGGTGGCCCCACACAAGCCTGTGTACCAGGGAGGAGGCGGTGAGTGCCTGGGTTCCCCTAGCCCAGGCCCGCAATGGGAGGGGCTAATACTGGGCTGAGATTGAGGGGTGGGGATGGGGGGCACAAAGTGTCTGCTCCAGAAGGGCCAAGTGGCCAAGCCCTTGCAAGGGCACAAGCCCACAGGGCAGCTGGGGGACACTCTGGATGCAGAGCTATGCCACTCTCCCTCTTCCCCTCTGGTGAGGGAGAGGAGGATTCTGGGCTGGGCCAAACAGCTACCCTGTCCTGCCCCATCCTGTCCTCGGCCAATCAGAACGGCTTCGATGTCTGCTTGAAGATGAAGCCTCGATAGGCGAGTGTCTTCATGATGTTGGCAATGTTCTTGCAGTCGTCTAAAAAGGAGAGAAGACATTTAGATCAGCCCCAGATCCTTCCCCTCCATGCCCACAGGTGCTCTTACAAGGGCGGGGGTGGGAAGCAGGGTCAGATTCAGGAGCCACAGGCTTTAGAGAGGGTGGTCCCATCCCCTGGTGGCAGCATCCCTGGCTTCAGGTTGGGCTGGGTGATGCTGGGCCAGCAGGAAGCCTGGTCTCGATGCTTCTCAGTTCCATAATTCATGCTGGAAATTGGCCGGCATGTCCCGCCCCAGCCCCAGCGGTGATGTATGGGCGCCGTCGCAGTAAGAAAAAGGCAGAGTAAATGTGTAATTTCTCCCTTGACGGCCCCCGGCCGCTGGGCGATCCTTCTTGTTGCCGCCGCGTGGGGACGGCCCGTCCGCCACACTCCGTCTTCCCGCCACCCGCCTTGATGTCTCCATTTCATTACTGGGCGGCCATTCATCACACCCACGGCCAGGGTGACTTTGCCGGCACTTTCGTGTGTGTGGAAGATGTGACCCAGGCCATAATCACTAGTGACAAGGCACAAGGCTCGGCACTGCTGGGCCAGGGCCCTGGGAAACACACCTGTCCTGTGTCCTGGGCTTGTGTGCTCAAACAGCAACTTGCCTGGGCACCTGTTCCTGTGCAGCTCCGACAGGATGGGGTGGGTCCAGATTTGTGGTCCTCCTCATAGCCTTGGCCATCAGCCCTCTACCAGACACTCCTGTATACGTCAGCGGAAGCCCTGCCTCTGTCCTAGTAGGCTCAAAGTGGGTGCTAGTCCCTTTTTGGGCCCTGTTTCTGCCCATACCTTGTAGAATGTCTGCCTGTATTAGACTATCACAAACAGTTTCTCCAGTATTGGATGCTTTCAACTGTCCTAGAACCCTGGAGGCTGCAGGATCAGGCCTCTGGGGCCTCAGTATCATGGACATGGGCCAGGATTTGTTTCACCACTGCCACCACCAGCAGGAGGTGCACCTGCCCAGAGCTTATTCAACTAGAGGAAGCCTAGGAGAGAAGCAGCCTGAGTGCCTTGAGTTTTTCTGTTCAGCTGCCCACGCAGCCACCAACTCATTATCCCCTCACCTGCGTCTTCTCCCATCTCCCTTAGATGCTCCTGGGCCATAACCAGGGCCTCAGCTACCACCAGCCTTCATAGGATCGATGCTGTGATTGTAGAAATATTGTACATCAATGTCATAATCAAGTGTCGGGGGTAGTAAGCTCAAGGTGGGGTCAGGAGTTCTCTGCCTGTCAAGGCCCACCTTTGCCAGGACCTTAGCCTAGGAAGGGGACCCTCCAGCACTAGACAAGGGCAGTAGGAGGCGCAGTCTCTGGTCAGCCCACACCCTGCATCACTAGCCAGATCCTAGCTCTGCGGAGCCTGCTTTGGGCAGGCAAGTCAGACAGGGTCCTGTCTCGCAGAGCTCAGTGTGGATGTACCTGCAGTGGATGTGGGCATTGAGAGGTGACACCTTCCCCCAGGGACTCAGGAAGCCATACGGGCTGGTCTGAGGCAGAACAGTGGGAAGACAGATTGGTGGGTAGTGGCGGCCATGGCAACTCCAGACGTGACCCATCCCCGTGGTTTATGGGCCGGACACGCACCCCGCTCAGCTGAGGCCCCATCATTTGTCTCTCTTAGTGTGTGCGCCTGTGCTGTGGGGGTAGAGGGTGGAGGAGGGAGGGGCTGTGCTAGGCAGTTGACAGGAAGGGGAATGGGACAGGAAGGGGCCTAAGAGGGGGAGGGGTTAGGATGGGGCCCATGGGCTGTGGTGGTGCCAATAGAGGGACTATGATAGGGTGATTTTCTTGCCAAACAAGTCTGGCCCTATCAGGGCACCTCCAATCCTTCCTGTCTCCTGTACCCTAGGGACCATGGCCGCTGTGCATATTAAGAATAAGTCCCCTCGTTATCTGCAATTACCCAGCGGCCACACACCTCATTTCTTCCAGCAGAAAAGAAAATTAGTTTTCTATTGACTTCATCTGGCTCCTCCCTCATTGCTGGACAAATCATTCAATTTGCTTCCCCTGGCCCAAGTGAATGTCCCAGCCCCAACCCCCGGGCCACCAGCCATCCAGTGGGCAAGCACTGATCTCCCACCTGTGCCTGGCCCTGTGCTGGGAGAGGGTCCCCATGTCCCAGTCTGTCCTTGACCTCTCCCCACTCTACACACTGGATAACTTCATCCAAATCGTGAGTTTCGGCTACCCCCTGAAGATCACCGTCTCCAGCCTGGACAGCTCCTGGGCTCCACACCACATATTCCTGAACATCTCTTTCTAGATAAACCCTAAACGTCCAATCATGAGCTAATTTTCTCTCCAAGCTGCTTCTTACCCCTCAACCTGCTATGTTCTCTGTCCCAGTGAATGGCACCATAATCCACCCAAAATGCTCAAAGAAATCTGAGAGTCATGTTGCCACTTTGCCCTCTCCCTCACTCTCCAAATCTAATCAAGTATGAACGTCTGCAGATTTTCTCTTCTTAGTCTCTGCCTAATCATCTTGGATTACAACAGCTGTCCTCTTTCTCCCCCGAATTCATTCTCTTACAGCCAAAGTGATTTTTCTGACATAAATCTGATCATGTTCTTCTTCCTTAAAGCCATTCAATGGCTCTCCTTGCCCTCAGTTTAAAGTCCACACTCTGTAATGTGTCTTAAAGACTCCACAAAAATTGATCCCTGCTATTTCTGGTCTCTGCCATACTCAACCCTCAATCCCTGGACTCCAATCTAAAGGACCCCCACTCACTGTTTTCTGAAAATGACAAAGTGGGTTTTGGAGCCAGAAAGACATGTTTCCAATCTAAACTTCACCCACTGGCTTCATAACACGCAGCAAGGGCTTAGCATCTCTAATACTTAGGTTCCTCTACTGGGGTGATAATGGCCTTGCTGTTATTGTGAGGACTGAACAAGGTGTTGCACCCATATCTTTGCACATGCTGTTCTTTATGCTTGGAATACCTCCTCTTTCTGAAGAAAAGGCAAGGAAGCTAGTTTTCTGGAGGACCTAGTGGTGAGAAAGTGTATACAACTGATAGCACAGATGACTGAAAGGGGCCGGCAGACTTGGTGAAACCAACTTGGCATTCACTCTAAATTCTGACTTCGGATCCTGTTTACTGGGTATTTCTGGAGTCTAACTTGTTGCAGTTGGCCTGCTACAATAAAGAGAGACCAGGGAAAGGAAGAAATTTGCTCCAGTTCACCTAGCAAGTCAGTGGAATGGCAGCCATGGACTTCCAGCTCCAGGCCCTTCTTCCAGCCCTTGAAGCCTTGATAATTTTTTTTTTTTTTTAAGTCTATGGCCCTACTAGAAAGTGAGGAAGCTTGGCAGAAGCACTAGAGACAGATCTGGGGCTTTTAATAGGCCAAAAATTCAGAGAGAGCGAGCAGCAGGGTGAGTCTAGTGGCAACATAGTCTCTTGGAAAATTTTCTGCTTGAAGCTCTGGGGGCCACCTGGGTTAGCAGGATTGCCTTCCAGGACCTCTCATTGAGCTACGGAGGCCAGCATGAAGCTGCTGTAGGGTGAGAGTGGGGTGGCAGGGAGCACAGCCTTGCACCCACAATAGAGGCCTCCAAGAGTAGGTCTACCTCACCTTCAAATTCTAGAAGGCTAACCTTTGGTTTTGTTTCCTTTTGTTTTGTTTTGAGACAGTCTCGCTCTGTCACCCAGGCTGGAGTGCAGTGGCGTGACCTCAGCTCACTGCAACCTCTGCCTCCAATTCTTGTACCTCAGCCTCCCAAAGGGCTGGGATTATAGGCGTGAGCACCTTGCCTGGCCAGGCTAACCTGTTTTTATGTTTCTGCAGGATCATCAATTTGTGACAAGATGACCCTCTCCTCTTTTTTGGGGCATTAATATTCTCAGTGTTGGAAATATTTTTATATTGCCAGGACCATAATGTCAGGAGTGCAGCTGCATAAATCCCTGAGAGAAGATTAGTGGGGCTAGCACCTAACAAGGAAGGATAAGCTTGTTGGCTGGGCCCAAGGACAGTCAAATGTCTGCCTGACAAAGAATCTGCACACAAAAGAGTTGCTCAGATCACTTAGGACACCCAGAAAGAGCTCACAAAGGGCAAACAACCTGAGGCTGATATTCTCCATTAGTGGTACTTACCTGGGAACTGAGTGGTAGTGGACAGGAAGCAGGGCCTGGGCTAGGGAGACCCTCAGGAGGAAGGGGACCCAAGAAGTGAGAAGTCCATTCATTCATGTACTCATTCATTCAGCAAACATGCACCGACACCTTCTGTATGTTCAGTGATCTTGTACCATAATGCTTCTGAGGGATGTGCAAGACTCTGTAGCTCCCTGCCCTCAAGGAACTCAAAGACAGCCCTGTCAGGTGTACAGTGCTATGAGAAAAGGATGCATGGAAAAGTAATCTAGTTCTGTTTGAGGATTAGGAAAAGACTCCAGAGTTAATCAGAGGTCTTAGGGGATGGGGGAGGGAGCTAGCCCACCCAGTTAGGGTTGGGGTGAGGAAGGTGTTCTCAGCATAGGCACATTTATGGAGGTGAAATGTGGAGTGTCCAAAAAAAATTAAGTTTATCAGATGGGTGGGGGTGATGAAGAATCAGAAGGGAGTGTCAAGAGATGAAGCTGGTGGTCAGTGACGGACTAAAGGGAATCCTAAAGAACCCAAATGCTAAACTAAGGAGCTTAAGATGTTAATATTCTGAGAATGATGGACATTAACATGGTTAAGGAGGGGAATGACAGTACCAGATCTGTGTTTCAGAATTACCATCTTAGATGTGAGGACAGGATTAGAAGGATTAACCCTGAAGGCAGACAGATCAATTAGCAGATTCTACTGTGGTCCAGACCAGAAATAATGGCCCAGAACTAGGCCAGTGGCAGTGGAAATGGAGATCTATTGATGATGTGGGGGAAGTGGATGGAGGTAAGAGAATTTTTAGGAAAGAGAATGAGCAAGCCTTAATGGGGGGATTAGGATGGCAGAGGGAAAGCATCTAGGATCTCAGTG